TGGCTCAAAATGAGGCTGACCAGCAGATTGCTCATGAAGAGCGTCAAGGAGGAGCGCGATCAGGCCTCAGCCAGCGCGCTCAAAGGCGCTGCACTAGGTGTAAAGAGACTGGGCACAACTCGCGCACATGCAACGCTGATACTATTGATATAGAGTAGTCTACTATATTAATATCTAGCAATAATATTATCGCGTTGTTGAGATATATCGCTTTGAAGTTGCAAAAGTTGGTGGGGTGACTGACTCGCTTGTCTGACCGACTCGCTTGCCAACCATGTTAATAACTTTTTATTAATATTATTATTAGAAATACTTTCTATCTATTATTAGTATCTCTTTACAAAGTAGCAGCACAATCTAAGCTATTTAGCGTGCTGTTAGGGATAGAGTTCTGCTAGAACTTATAATTATCTGTAATAGACACTAGTTAGATAATAACAACAACAATAGCAGACAGCACGCCCGCGTATTAAGCACTATACTTGCACAATACAACTAGAGATGCAATTAGCTATCTAGCTAAGCACGCTGTCATTGTCTGCAAACAACACGCTACAGCAGTACAGAATTTAGACGCGCATCTGCGCGATCATCACAATGCGCCAAAGAAGCTACGCAGGGAGATTGTAGCGAGTTATTAGGGCAGGACTGTTTTACAGCCGAAAGATGTGATGCTGCCCTGTCTGCTGGGCCCGCTGATTAAAGAGCTAGGAGAGCTGCTTAATAGCTTTCAGTGCAGAGAGGAGGACTGCAGCTTTATTACAATCAACATTAACATAGTGCGCATGCACTGCAAGAAAGAGCACAAGCTGCTGTAGAGAGGCAATAACAATGCACTATATTAGAGAGTTAAGGTGCAGACGTTCTTCTGCACTAGCAGGCTGCAGCGCTATTTTGTTGTGAATGCAGGAGACAGCAGCACAGGAGATAGCAACAGCGCGCTGTCTGCCCCCTACAATGTAGCAGACAACATTAAAAGAGAGATGGCTAAGTAGGAGATAGTGCAGAAAGAAGAAGAGCAGAGGATGCAGCTTATAGACGCAGCTGTGGCGAAGACAGATCAGACAGGCTGGTTCAAGCAGACAGGCTGGCTAGAGCATTTTACAGGCTGCAATCTGGCACATCTTGCGCATTAGGCCCGGCTGCCCAATCGAGGCGAGGTAAAGCTGCAGCTAGCTGCAACACTGGTTGAGGGGCTTGTGGAGAGGAGCGTGCTGGGGCTGTTAACGCTGGACCAAGAGTTAAGACAGTAGTTAAGGAGTGTGAGGCGTGATAACCTGGACCTGTGCCTCTCCGTATGAACCGCTGCGCGTATGGCCCCGGAGGGGGCATCTGTGCGCGAACCCTGCCACCTGATTGGCTAGCTAGCCCTCGGCTCACGAAAACCCGCCAGGCCCAGGGCCATCTGCGCGGGGCCATCTGCGCGCGATCGAACCCTGCAACCCTGATTGGCTAGCTAGCCCTCGCCTCACGAAACCCCGCCAGGCCCAGGGCCATCTGCGCGGGGCCATCTGCGCGCGATCGAACCCTGCAACCCTGATTGGCTAGCTAGCCCTCGCCTCACGAAAACCCGCCAGGCCCAGGGCCATCTGCGCAGGGCCATCTGCGCGCAATCCATACAGCGCCTCACCGTTGCAACAGAGCGCCTTCCTCTGCTGCCAAGCAGCGCAGCAGGG